TCAACTCTACTCACATAAAGTGTACACAAACAGAATCATGCTATTTGAAGAAAGCTGGAATGTATTCCAAGAGGGTTGTAAGAATCCGTTCAAGATCTTTTAGGGAGGGTGGATAATTCTCTTGAAGTGTTATCCTCACACATAACCCATCGGAGAGAGAGAGTCTGATTTGTTGTTGCTGAAACTTTTCAAGTAAACTAAACTATCCCTTTTTGGCACCATCTTCTTTTCAATATCTAAGGGAAAATATAACCAAAGATGCAAATTTAACATCTTTAGGCTGAAATTATTTACACTACGAACAGGTCAAAAGCCTGGCTGAGAGTAGGCATCTATTTGTTAGAGTTTTCATTTGTACAGAGCCTGGCTGAGAGTAGGCATCTATTTGTTAGAGTTTTCATTTGTACAGAGAGTTTCAGAACAGAAGCAAGATTTAACAGTTTATAATGCAATAGCTGTCCTTGTATCTAGTCCTTTGGGACACCGCGCAAAATCTCGTCACCAGTTGTCCCAAGGATAATCTTAAAGCAACGGTGACTCAGACAGTAAAACAGGGGATAACATCAAGACACAATATAGCCAGCCTCGTGTGGGCATGTTGGTGTGGCCTTTTTTGTGTTGCGCCCTGTCTTTACCAGGCGAACCATTGTTGCGCAGAACTAAGCTGGGCCAACAACCCCAGGGCAAGCTCAACACGGTCTTAGGAAGAAATTTGTCTCCCCCCAAAAAACTTGTTGGGGCACTTGTAAAAACCCGCCAAGAGTCTTGTACAGTTTCTTGTTGCTCCAAGGCAGAGACTGTGGTCGTGATTATCTGTTTGGTTTGAGAGACGGATGACTGCAAACATATGTACAAGCAGGCCTGCGTGTTTACTGATCTGATTGAATTGTATCCCCAGTCCCCGAGTTATTGCAACCATGGTGCAACTGAGGTCCGGCACTAGATAAATTCAAAAGCAAGTTTGTATCAATCTTTCCATTACTTTTCATACATGCAATTCACAATGATATACTGTCAATTTCTTTGCATAATTAGAAAGAGTAGTTTGAGATAGAATCATGCAAATAAACTTCTCCTCAACAAATGTAATTCGGCAAAGTCAAACAGATGTTCAGAACTAGGAACGACATAACGTGCTGACAATTGTATCTTCTTCTACACAAACACCTGTCTCCATGACCCTATTGTGTGTTCTAAATATAGTTCAATCCTAAACAATGGTCGTTAGCATTCCTCTAAAGGGATCGGTGCTTGAGTGGCAAACCTTAACTAAAACAAGCTTTAGAGAAAAGATAATGTACTAAAATAAGACACGCGGTCTTAAGCTGATGACGACATGTGTAGGTAAACAGAGTATTATTATACACTGTTTGATTAATGCTTGTCTGATTAATTTACGTCAGACAGATTTATCTCCAGTAATCTGTGTCAAAGAATGCACCCAATGATTGAAAGTTTAATCAAAAATGTATTTGCATATCTGACGACCGGCCGTATCGAAAGCTGAATGCTGCAAAATGCACGTGTAGCACGCAAGACCTTGAACATAGGTCCAAACAGCTGGCCCAAGGACTAACACACATCTGTTTGCGCATTTATCAGCTGAGCTCTCAGGAGTTGTTTGTAGCAGTTCACAAATAGCTTGTTTCTGGGAGATCCAGGCATGTCCACTGAATGGTATACCCCGGCCTCCCAGATAACCTTTTCAAATGCATGTACCGGTAGGTCCCACACCATCGGCGGACAAGATCGCAAACCCTACAACTGTGTAGGCCAAGTAGGCCCGCAGGCTGTGAAAACACAAAGTCACTAACCCCCACCAAAATATTTGGGCCTCTTAAGAACTTATCTTATGATCATTGCAGGTGAAAAGTGGGTGTCGCTTCATCCCGCCCGAGGAGAGCTGTGTGGGATCCTCTCTTAACACCTTGCCAAAACCTCTGGCATATTTTTGTTTGTTTGCTTACCGAACCCTCTCTTGCCGACTCAAACAGATACTGTATATAGCCTTTGAGTATCCCACAACAATTGCACAGGGGGGTTTGTTTTGGGGGCATTCCTGGCATTGCAGAGGGGATTTTTGGTGGCTGCCTTTTTTGGTGGGATTTCAGAAATACCTGAGGGAATTTAGGCACTGTTTCTGCTGGATGTGGGATTGAGATCCAGCACACACACAAAAGTGCGAGGCTGATCGGACCGCAACAAAACCACAAAGTTAAGTTCCAACTGGATTCATATCCACCTTCTGTAAAATACGGAAGTTGTGATGCTTTACAAAAGGAGAAACCACACTCGCACCTTCCTTGCTCGTTGCTTTAGTTAGTGCACTCGTGAAGCAAGGTGGAGCACTTGTCAAAGGTAACAGAAGATGGCACCCAAAACGGGGTAATGACAGGTCCAAATTACAGCCCACTACCCTGTCAAACCATGGAGGCAGAAATAGAGTCCTGTACCAACACACAGATTCAATGGGCACGCCAGGGCTCCCCTTTGAGAGAGAGCTCAACCTGCCTATTATGGGGCCAACTTTTGGGTCGGAAGTGGGAAGACCTTAAGTTGCCTAAGCACCACAGGAAACCTTCTGGTACAAATGAGAAAATGTTTTGACAAATTAGTGCTCCCCTAGGCACTAGCCGCTCTCACATCCACCTAGCCCTAACCACTGTATCAATTACACGCACTGCTGCATTCTCTTTCATCATCCAGCCACAATCTGCTCGGCCCCAAGTCAGTATAAAGCTCCCAAGATATATTTGAATGCCTGTAGATATAGTGTGATATGCCTGTAGATATTTGTTATAAACTGTGCAGAACGATAATTTGCACACGCATGCACTTGTCAGGCAATATGTCAAGGGAATCAATCTACCTTTTACTGAATGTAAATGGCATACCCATAGATTTATCAAATAAGCAGTGATGTGAAGTCTTCAGTTCGTCCAAACTGTATCAAATTATTTTCTCAATAAACTACTGCAGTATGTTGACTACATTTTCATCCCAAGATACTTATCAGTCAAGGACAAATGACTTTGCCCAATGATAAAACAATAACATTGATGAAATTTCAAGCAACAAAATTCATAAAAATCGCCCCCAAAAAAACGCAGGGAAGGAAACTAAGTAGTAATAATCTTAGTTACACAAACTACCAGTGACTTAACAAAGAAAGAACATAAAATGGCACATCCTACAAAGGTTCATAAATTTCTGCAGAATAGCAGCCTTCATGACGGGTTCATGATTGGTTACGTCATTCCAGTATAGAGCCAAACAATTCACGGGTTCTTGAGAGAACAGTTAAAGTCGGTTTTGAAAAAAGGGTAGCTGACTCATGTATGTGTTTGATGTGTACAGAACACTCAAGACGAATCAAATATATGCTCAGATCACTCTATCCAATAGGGTGCAATGCCGGTCAATTGTGATGAGGTACACATGTGGAGACAGTTATTCTTTACACGGCATAATCCATTATGATGTGACTTTATTTGACTTGCCAGGCTTTTAAGTGATGTGTGTAGCTGGCAAACGGCGAAGAAGGGTTACAGGTCCGCAAAACTTCAATACAAAGAAACATAGTGGCTTAATTAATGGTTAAGCTATAGGGCAGCACAAAAGGGCCCGCTAAGCCCTGTCTATATATTGTGCCAACATGCCTTATGTAAAGTATACGTTATCTTGTAATTTCACCAAAAGCCCCAACAATTGACATAGTGGGTGGCATTATGTGGGCAAGCCTTTATATATTTGGATGTGCCGGCTCTGTTGCTGGAGCTGCCGCAATGGTTGCCCTGACCATACTCTAACTGATTTACATACCTTCAGCGTAAGACCAGCCTGGGTTGACTTGTTCCTCTCGCACCACAAGTGGGACAGTCAGAGACCACAGGGCCAGGATTAAATCAATGTGAAACTAATTGTTGAGTAATTGCCCTAATTGTTCCCAAAAAAAAATTTTTCCGGAATCCCCCCCCCCAAGAAAAAAAGTAACAACCCACCTTGTGTCCATTACAAAACTGTTGATTTTCAGGGTTTTTTTAATCCTACATAAACCTGTCCTGTTACCTTTCCCTTTCAACATGATCCAAACCAGAAATTATTCCTACGCTCTGCAAGTGTGCAACAAATGTCCCCTGCTTCTGGCTCAAAGGTTTCACCTGAGCAAACAAATCGGGTTGCATTCTAGCAACGGGAGAGCCACGCCGACAAAAGAAGTTGCTACAGTTACTGACTAGGGTGCCGGCCTAAGATGCCTTATAGAAGCAGGTGTGTGGATGAAGCACAGGAGGTAGAAGTTGCAAGCAGGTTTTAAGCTTTGTTGAGTGCGCGTATCGCTCAGTGTTCAGCTCAGGAGAGGACAATGGTTAACCATGGAGGATGGGTTAACTTACTTACTTACATGAACCCTAAGTATGTTGTGGCAAACAAACAAGGTAAAACTTCTCAAATCAAGACTGTATCTTCATCGGGAACACAACCCTGCTATCCTGCTGAAATGTGAATGTTTAAATCAGTGCAGGGCAACCTTAATTTACATATAAGTTTTCTGCAAGCATATCTGAAGAAGAACAGGGCACTTCTGTCAGACTACATTTTGAGAAGGTTCTCTGATGTCACCCTAAGGAAAAAGAACAGGGTTTTGTTGGGGGAGGAGTTTATGAGCAGGACAAATATACCTGGTGGTATTATAATCCCCCTCATCTTCAATGACTCTGCAGAGGAACGTTTCCAAACTCCTTAAGCATCCCGTGTCTTATGTGGCTCACTTATTCACGAGGCCTGCTTGCTTGCATGTCAAGTGCTGTGTTTGTTTGCAGGAAGAAGAGAGGGGGGCATTTACACAGATAGCTTACAAGTTACAACCCTGCTCAATAAAGGGAGTTCCAGCTAGGATTTAAGAAACCCGGCCTTCTGGGCCCTGTAATTGCTGATCCTGCTGTTGTTCCAGCGGGGCAACAACAAGAGATTAGCCATTGATTCTTGAATAGGGAGCAAGGGGCCTACATATGTACAAAATGACCCGCGGGGGTAAACACCTCCAACTGAAGGGGTGTCTCCATATATTAAGGAGCGCTTGCTACTGTGTTGAAGCCCCGGTTGGACAAGCCATAATTGTAAGTACCTCTGTATAAAACTTGTCAACAATTCTAAGAACGGTGGAGAACCTTTTTTTCCCCTTAACATTAAGGTTAGCGAAACACTACATATTCGGTTCAACATGTTTGAACCCTGACCTCACCTAAAGCTACAACCTACTACTAGTAGTAAACTGTAGTATGCAGTACTTCAGCATTTTAAGTGGGCCCAACACTCATAGTATTTTTCTGTATTTGGGGACTGCATACATAATTTCTGTAGTATGTGGTACACACCTAATAACAACAACATCTGAGTCTTTCTTCTTAATTTGAAGAAAAAAACTGAAATGCGTATATATGCACCCACTTTGTTTCCAAGCAACAGACACGTGTACCAGTGAATAAACAGCACCCAAAAGAAATCTGATAAACATATCACCGGTACAATGGGTACATGTAGCTATTGAGACACACCCAACGAGATGAAAAAGTGGTTCGTATTCGGCACGGGCGCCGGCATCAAAGAGATGCAACATTCCGGAAAATGTTACACCTTCTGTTCCATCCCCATTTACTCCCCGATTCCTCTTGGGTTATAAAAAGCCGGTCAATATTTGCTGAGCTTATTTCACACCAGGAGAGTGAGACATTCCAGCGGGGCTCGCAGGGCCCAATCAAAGGCACCAATTTGTCAAACTTAAATACTGCTACATTAACTTTGTGTCTGTCTGTCTGTGTGTGCCGGTGTCTCTCTGTGTATGTCTGTGATGCCGACTGCCTTCCAGTATTCCTTTCGGCCTCTTTGAAATGATCTATAGATCCAGGGTAGCTAGTCAGACATTCTCTAGCTCTCTAGTAAACCTATACTGCAAGAATACTATAGAGAAAAGAGCACCTAATCACATCAAAGTGGCTCTGTTTGCCCAGCTAATTGGTTTTTAAGCGGGGGACCTAACATAGTTTAGAGTCCCCATGTTGTCATGACAGCCTCTGTAGTATGTGCAAACTCGCATGTAATGTCAACCGCTCACCATGTACAGTACATGTACTTGTAGACCAGGACAAGCACTGATACATGGAGACAAGAGTGATGATAGATGGCTAGTAATTCCATATGGTGTGTTGACAAAAGTTAAGGTACTCTTTAAAGAGGCATACAGATACAATGCGCTTATACATGTGCCTGTGTATAGATACTTAGTTACTGAAATGCAATCCAATATTAAATGCTTCATCGCAGCATTACAATGTACATCTTTCTTGTTTTTATTTGGGGAGGGGGTTACTTTGGTTTTAAAGCATCTTTAACTATTTCAACATTTAACAAAAAGCTTTTTCAAAAAGTTGAAAATATTTTCAGGTACTGGTGAGTAGCTAGCTCTAAATCACCTGTAATTTACGGTACATGACACTACAGATCTCCATCTTTTTCTTGTTAGTAAGATAAGTTGAAAAATTGTGCAAACACAGTAACAAACATCTACAGTAACACATGGCTGTTTTAATTCTGACTTTTCCAGCAGAAACAAATAGCTTCACATATAAGGAAAAAAATCCATTGCAAACGTGACTTCATATGCAACAGTGTAAATTACTGAATTCCATAACCCAACAGTATGCATCTATAAACTTTCACTTTCAGTTTTAGTTACACAAGAACACGTAGTTGAGGATTTGAGCACATTGTGCTCCCCCTACCATCAGGTTCAAGCACAGCACTTTTTGACTCGAGGGCAAACTCCCCTACTGGATAAACAACAGGTAGGGCCTACAGCTTTTATTGATTATGAGCCCTGCTGTGGACTGTGTAAACATAGCTGAATCCAGTTAGCAGTCAACACCAATTAAGGGGCAATAACGGGGTGTTAATTGCTCTCTTGCTGAATGAGGGGAACCCAACAGGTGAAAATATGCAGCCCAAATGTAACTAAACAGTGTAAGGTCGTTAAAGTAATTACTGAAGAATGTGGGGGTTAAAAAGGGCAATACATGAACAATAACTATTTGTGGAAGATTGTTAAAGAGTTTTAATAGTTTTTTAGAAACTTCAGTCATCTGCTTATTATAGCAACTGTTTATGACTGCGAGTTAAGGCCAACGTGGCCCTGGATGTCAATAGTACACGTCATTGTGCAGGGTAACACAAAACAAGTTAATTGTCCTTAGACTTTGTACTTTGGAAATGAAATCACTTCTGGTATGCATGTGTAGGCGTTCAAAGACCCGTTTGCCAAACAATGACACCCAGTAATCTACAGTACCAACTGACTTTCATTTTGTTGTTCAAATACATAACATGGTTACCAAATACACACATTTAACTCCACAAAAAAATACTGGAAAGTTCCATTATACGTTACAATAAATCTTTTCTCTGAGACTGAGTTTTTGTTGTATCTGAGAAGTAATTATGTAAAATGTCACTGCGTGTACATGGTAAGTAAAATTTCACAAGATACTAATAATATCAGTATAATATGCAAGGCATTTTTTTATCACTCTTTATTAATTCAAATGTTTCGGATTATAACGGGTGGTTTTTAGACAAGGAATATTTGTATAGGTAATAATGCCACATACTGTGATGTGGTTTCACAAAGAAAATATAAAAATCTATTTTAGTAAAACCACAAGTTAGTTAATATTTGCAAGCAGCTGGGATTCTATTACACAAAAGCCACAGATAATAACCTATACTACAAACCTTGTATTATGTTCTCCCCTTATTACCCACAGAAAAAAAAATAACCCCCTAGAGGAATGACAATTAGGTATGAAACAAATTTAATTATTATCTTGTGTGACTGGCCGAAAGAATAAAGGTTTATGGATGCATGGATGGGTACTATAAATAGATGGGTTGTGGTACAACCACCCTGCGTTCATGCTTCCTTAGTAGTTATCCGCAGCTAAAAACAGTCACTGTAGAAGTAGACCGACAGTAACACGAGTCCGAGTGATCAAACAGTGTGAATTTAACCTCAGTTTCCTGAAGTTTTTCCCAGTGCAGCGCACTGACTCAACATTTCTTCCCCTGCTGGGGGAAGACCAGTGCTGCACAATGATCAATTACCCAGCATTGTACCTAGAATTGCTCAGCGGCCTTTGTGGGGAGTAACCAGGTAAAATTTACGACAGCTGCGTCAAAGAAAGGGAGGAGGAGGGCGGCTGCGCGCACACACAAATCGGAAGAGATTGCCAGGATTTAGAGATTTTTTTTCCTTACTTACATGTATGAAAGTAGAGAAAAGACCACCCATACAAATCTGACGTACATGTGGAAGTAGCTTGTTTGGAAGGGAATACTTCCTTTCCTTTCCCATAATCCTCATCAATATGTCAGGTTCTGGGTCTGGCCTCACTTCTTTGACCAATTGTGCATCATCCAGCCAATCCACAGGGATGCCAACGTTTTTTTCCCCTGACATTTAGTCTTAAATCCGCCTTATCCTGAGTTAATTGTTTTCTTTGGCATTTCCAACCTACCTCCCCCCACACACTCCAAAGAGATCTGACTTTTATGGTGGATTTATGCGATTTGTAGCTGTGTTGCATTAATCTAGACGGCCGACTTTATGGTGCGCAACCAAAAAAAGCTCAATCCTTGTCACTTGATGGGTGCTTACAACAGTTTCTTTACATTTAATTGTTACAGACTTCGGTGTTATTAGGTACATGTACAACCATCTAAATAATTAAATGTGGTCTTCGTTTGGCATTAACTCTGGAGACTTTAGCCATAATTTAACACAGAACAGTAAGACGAGTAAAACGTAAACTTTTACTCTCATACACACCCCTCAAGTTAAAAACAAGTTAATGATAACAGTGTTCCCACTCAATCAACACATAACTACCTACTTGCATACATGTATCTGTTTCTTTATGATGTATATTTACAATTAAATGTAACAAAGTTACGTAAGTTAAAGAGACCAGCACCACAATGACTATCACATTTTTTAAATTTTATTGCAGTGTCAACATTTTCCGCATTGTCCATTTCTAATAATTAAACTCTGCACAAATAGTGCGGCAGATTGAGTTGTGTTTCTTCATAGGGTGCATAACAACTGTTGCTGTTTGCATTGTGGAGTGATTGTCCATGCACAGGACCAGTGTTCTTAGCCAGAGTGAAATTATAGCCTAGGGGCATTTTCTCAAGAAGGATGGCGTGGGATCTGGGGCCTGCCTTACAGGCACAACAATTTCGGATTCTAGATGCTCTGTGGTGCAATTTGAAGCGATTCCTCGTCACTTTCCCCCGACTTTTTTTTGAGCAAAACTTTGTATTATAACGAGAGTTTACTTCATGAATCTCCTTGGAATATATTGTTTGTCTTCTAAAGTTTGTTCTGTACTCACAAGCTGAGAACCCTGTATTTTCATATGAATTTCATTTTGACAGGACATCAGGCATAACTGCACTCCTATCTTAAGTTAACAGTGAGCAATTTCGTTCCAAAACTTTCAATTCTGTATTTAGTATTATACAACATCCTTGAATTTTGTTAAGAAATTGTTTAAATTGGTCAAAACTTTGAAATTATTTCTGAGGAACTACATTTCAGGTTGATCTTTGGATGAAAATTGTATTGCTAATTATATCTTCTTCTTTTTTTATTCATTTGTAAAAAGAGGCCGACAAAAAAGCACCCTTTAGCTGAAAAAATAACATACAACAAAACTGAATTGGACAGGGAAGCAAAAGATATAACCTCTTCTGAGCTAGTGTGGCATTGTATTTATTTCTCTTAAGTTCGGAATTCGATATCCAAGGAATATTGCATTAAAAAAACAAGTGTTTATGGGGCTGGTACAAGCATAAGAGTCTATTGACCCGGGCTCTTAAATGTGAGGCAATAATGTCCAGATATAATGTTATCTATACATACTTGCACAGTATAATGCAATACAAATGAGCTTGTTTATAATCTGAAGGTCTGACATGCACAAATCTACTGAGGAATCTGCGAAGGCGAGGATTTTATTGGTCCCGTGTTTCAAATCATAAGTGGGTGCAGATAAGTATGTTAATCTTGTAACCGCATTCTGCAAATATTTGGAATACTTATCCAAAATATTATTTTCAGACAATATCAAAACATACTCTGCATTTGCATGTATGTTATAATACATTCGCGAAACCGTATGGCTTAGACCTAGCATGTACAAAATAATAGTATACAACAGTATACATTGAACTTATATATAGCTGGCCAACTATGGGTAAAAACTGTCAATGGGCCAAACCTTGAGAATCGGTTACTGTAAAAAGTCTTCAGTCTATTAACCCCAACAGAACTCAACCCATCAAACCCCAACGGCATGTTTTGTTGGAATCTGTCAGGATGGGTACAGTACCCCTAAACTGACAGTCTTTTACATTGGGTTGGCACACCTCCAGAATCAAAGTCAGAATATGTGTGTATAATTTCCCATATGGTGTTGGAATTTGCCAGGATGGGTATGGTTCCTAGTAAATCATGCTAGGGAGTTAGGGTTAAGAACACTCTGCTTACTAGTCATACCATGGGACCATGTTTTTAAATATTTCTAAGTCAGATACAGACTGCCAAATAAAACATGCTGATTTAATAAGCAACCACTTTTTCAATTCTTTCCTATTTTATGTTTACTCAAACTTTTAAGACAGAGGAAGCAAGGAATGTTGGTACGTGACCAGATCTCACCTGAATTAATGCAAAATTCTTAGGAGATAACAAAATGAAACTTAGACATTTCAAAACGATTTAATTTCTCTCTGATTCTGCATATAATTTATCTGTATTTCCATCACAGCAAACATTTGAAAAATACAAGAAAGTGGCAACATGCAGTAATTTTTTTTATTTGAAGCCTATGCATCTCAGTCAATCAACAACGAATTATTTTATGTAAAAGAATTCTCAATTTATGCTTTATAGTTAAACTGTGTTTTGATTTGACAAAATCTGAATAGTTGTCATCCTGATGTAAATACACAGTAGAAGTGGTTACGTCATATGCCGCTGATGTCACAAGTTGTTAAGATCACGCGTTCCACACAAACCTGGTCGTACATAGCGATAGCACGGTGCCCACTTCTTCATCAATTTTTTATCCATTGGAAAATATAAATAACGACATCCATCACGTTCCGAGTGATGAATACAGTCAGCTACGAAGCACTGTCCCATTTTCCAGTCTGATTTATTCTTTATGTCTGGGAAATCTCAGCTGTATGATTTTTTGCCTTATCTTTCCATTTGTCACTCGCAGCTCTCAGGAATTGTCTAAGCTAGTCCTTTCGTACGTTACTTTCTGTCTTATTTTTGTTGAACTTTTTCCGACATAGAATAGCCTTCTGATCTGTAACGCAGCAGTATTGCTTATGGCACAAAGGGCACTAGGTTGCCAAACATGCCATTCTATCACATCAACAACAACAACACATCTCAGCTAAAAAAAAAATTCACCGAAATCGCCTGTGCAAAACGAACGGTAAAAATTGCGGACGAGACATTGTGTGGAAGGGTCGCTATTGGAGACGACCCCGAGTGACGTCACACTACGGCGTGTTAGAGAGCCCCACGAAAACAAGAAAGCATGGAACATTCCACTTGGAATATTGCCTGTTCTTGTTAGAATTCTCACTCTGTCTGAGCCACCTCCTAAAAACAGCCTGGGAATTTAAGGCTGTCGGATGCACACTGAGAATATTTGCTTGAAATTACATGTTCACATAACAGTAACAGAGTTCCCACCATTTGCATGTCATATTGCTGTATTCCAACCAGTTCGCACATCACTTTTTTTCTGGTGTTATGGCATTGTAATAGCATAACAGGCATTAACACAGCCAGCCCTAGCCCGACTGCGTCTGGCCGTACAGTACTATCGCAAGCTCTGTAGTACGGCCAGACGCCCGATGCTTCCACAGAGACTGAATTTTGTTGGCCGCCGATGTAGCGATTTTGCTACATCTTTCGATCGCGATTATCTTTTCATCCAGGACACAAATTTCCAAAGTTAAGGTTCGTAGTCGTAGAGCAACTCATACCTTTTCGAAAAAACGTTGTTTGGTCTCAATATTTTCATCCATCTGGCCACAAGACGAATTTCAGTCATCAGATTCCACAAATATCGTCCCCCATGCGATCCCCCATGCGATTTCAAAATGGCGGCCGCGCTGTAATGTATGCAATATGCAGGCGCGCCCGCGCAAACTCATGAATATGCATACACAGTCTGTGACGTATGACCTCGTGTTTTTGGACGTGCGTGCGGCGGGGCCGTACTTCCCATAGCCCATAGTGCAAAATATCAATGGATTGGGTCCGGAGAGCATGATGCTTTTTATAGTAACGTAGTTTGTGTTGCTATCCAAACAAAATACAATATCCACCAAATACACCAAATATACCATACTTTTGATGATTGTCAGCCGTAACAAGTGTTGACAAATGACTTATTGATAACCAAAAAACGCTAATTTTATTTTAAAGTAGCACCAGTTGTTTAAATTATTCTAACCATGACCTTCATGATACAAATGTAGGCTACTCAGTTTCACACTAGTTATTCAGCTAGTTCAAGTTTTAGTTGCAGTGACCAGTGTTTGCCTGTGGCTTTTGAATATTTCATTCTCTCCAATATATAGGGCCTATATCATATTCAAACAATCGGCATTCCTGTTACTATTCGTTAGCCGTGTCACTGTGGTCCTCTTTGTAGTTGAACAGCCATGTCACATTGGCAGGTTACTTACCGTACGTTGTGGTGCGTTGTGCTGTACTTCCACTGCGTAAACTGTTGTTGACGGAAACACTCCCCCTAGTCGAATTTGCTGGCGATATTTCAACCAAAAAACACCACCAGTAGCACAAAAGGCACACGTGCCGAGTGCTAGAAGTTTAAGCCTGTTTGCAGGGGCTGCCATGTTTGATTTCTGGCTGCTCATCTGTCTTACAAAACCTACATAATTCGTCCATTTCAGCTGTCTCCGTATACTCGCGGATGTCGCCATTTTGTAAATACATAGTGCGTCTGCGCTGTAAGGTCAGTCGGTTCACTGATTTACACTCCGTGCCAATAGCGTGGATTTAAGTCAAGGTAACAACATTTAGCAGACGACACGCATTTCTCAGGGCTACATTTTCGACAAATGTTATTCCAAACAGTGTTGTGTTTCTATTTTATTTGTAAGAAGTGGAACAATTTGAATGTCAAGTTTCACTGTTTCAACATTAAATGCAAACCGTATGTTTCTTTAGTTTTAGAATTCTTTTCTTTTCTTTTTATGTATTTTCTTTTCATTTCTTTACATTTGTTTTCTTTCTTTTTCATGTTTCTCTTTTTGACATGTTTTTCTAGTTTACCAATAGACAAATTAATTGGCTAACAGTAAATATAGGGTTAATGACCAAGTATTGGTTTATTTATCGAAAACGTGCCCCCGTATTTCTGTGGTTTTTGTTTGTTTGTGTTGTTTCATTTCATTTAACTTTTTTCTCTTATATTGTTTTCCTTCTTTTTTAATGATTTGTACCGGGGGTGTTGCTTACATTACTACACAACGTACACCATTGCACGTGTAGTAATAGCATCCTGTTTCATATGTTATTCCTTGAAAAACACTGACGCACGCACGCAAAAAGGAAAAGAATATTATCCCAAGTGTGAACTCATTCTTCTATTTTAATTTGGGTTGCATTTATTTTTGATGTCTTATGTTCTCAATCATTGGAAGTTCTGATGTACTTTTTACACTCTTTTTTTTTTGTACCCCGCAATGTGGGCAGATGTTGGGAAGGGCCCGGCCGGCATATCGTACTGACCTTGCCTGCAATTTCAGTCTCCCGGGGGGCGAATATACAAAATAAACAAACCCACCGAATGTTTTTCCATCGTTAAAAGGACCGACCACAATAAACACGGTGGCGGGTCTGGAGCCTGCTGAACTCGACCAGGGGAGTCATCATCAATGAAGGAAAAGAGAAGGGGGAGGAGGAATTAAGAGAAAATAACTTAAAGGCAGCAATGAGAAGCAACTTCACCGCCGAGGTCTGCGTTCACTGCCCAGCCCAACTGATTTGAAAATACCCCCAACAAAAAAGTTATAAACAAACATTAACAAAGAAACTTAATGATAAACCAACAAGCGTTCTTAATCCAAATTACTGTCTTTAATATTTTAATTAATTTTGTATTTATTTCGACCGAATATGTATTTTGTTTTTCCGTCCGTGTTTTAGATACGCTTGATAATAAATTGTGCCATATGGCGAAATTTTATAATTGTAACTTGAAAAGTATGACTCTTAATACCTAGTCTTTTTTATATCTAGCACGAGGGATTACATCAGAATTGCATTATATGTTGTCCTGTTGATGTAATCGACAGGGGAAAAAACACGTACCGTTATATTATTAATCCCATCCTACGCTTCTATGATGTATGTGCGGGCTGTAATATATTGACATTCTTTCGTAATTAACCGGTGTGTGGGTGTGTGTTTAATTAGGGGGAAAGGGCGGGCTGTATATCTGTGACGATGCACGAAACGACCAATCACTGCTTCATATTGCCTGCGTGAAATGGCTGAAAACATTTTACGACTCTTTCGTGTATGATTCGGATCTGAGCAAACGGGGAACCACACTATAAGGCAGTTCATCACTATCCCGAAGATTAAAGAGGGAAATACTATAGCTTCCGCAAAACTCATAACCTGTATTTTTATATCTAAATTGGCGGGAAACAGAAAGAAGAACGGATATCAATAAGTTGACGTCATCATAAACTCGGGCATGCGCTTTGTAGGATCACCTGCCGAGTGTTGACTGGTGACTTAATAGTGTACCATTTGAGCCTTGGTTATTAATGGCCCGCATTACGTGTCTAAACTGTGCGGTTAACGGTTTCCTATTGTTTTCTGATATGTTTTCTGATACAGAGAGGATTTGCCGGCTGAGCTCGCCACACTTCTGGCGGAACTTCACTTGTCCACTACAGTGACTGAGTGACTGACGCACCTGGCTGTTCCGGATCCGGTTGCGTGCACACACACAGGACCATCTGATTGGCAACGAGTGGTGTGGAGCATAGGCGGCGACTGCAGATATCCAGACACGTGACTGGCGAGCGAGTCTACCAGCATGCAGTAGAGGATAATAATGACCTCATCTTATTTACATGTCGTAGTTCGAAGTGCATATATAGAGGCCTGATCTCCCAAGGCGGTTATCTGCATCCTTGGCTGGGACTGCGAGCGAAGTACCCTCGCCAAGCGTGTGATGACAGTGTGCGCATCTTTTAATAGCGGATTGTTCTGTTACTTCTTGTGCCTGTGCTGGGGACGTGGGATAATACTGTCGCGGCTGGACCAGTGAACTTCACAACTTACAGGGAAACTTTTTTGCCTTCGTGACGCATCGCTATACACGATCAACTTCAACGCAGAGTGTGTCTTGGGTGATATTTTTTCCCCAGTGTGTGTTTATCGCCTGCGGGCTCTAGAGATTTCGCGAGGCGCTCGTCTGGAAGCGCCGAGTTGTACATGAGAGATGAACAACGCAATGGAAAGTTGGATTGAGAGAGCAAGTCGGGGAGCAGTGCGCGTTGGGGCCTTGGTGCTCCTTGTGTGTTTAACATTAACCGTTAACAGTTTGCCCACATCGACTTTCAAAGCTGCCACCGTGCCGTCGTCGCCGCACCAACTTCACCAAAACCATCATTCTCCGACGCAAAGTACTGTTGTTGCCAAGAGCGCGATGTCGTGGGACGATAAGACGACGACGACGGCGGGTGACGACAGATCGGAGGTGAGGCATCTGCAAGGAAATAACCAGGGTGGTGTTATCCTCAGCACAGTACAAACGTCTGGGGAGGACAACAACAGAATCTCTACAAGGATGCGGCGAATGAGTAACAGTAGAGACCGAAATTTCGTTTTCGACACCGCCAAACGGATGCACTGCAGAAATGGCTATTTGCTGGCAATCTATGACAATGAAACTATCAATGGAACAACGAATAAAAACGACCCTCACAGTAAGTATCAAACATCATTTGAACAGTTTCAATTAATTTTATGAATTTCTGTAAAATTGCAACAAGTAGATGTATAGGTCTGTACTCCCTGAAGCGCTTTCGTGCGTAAAGAATAAGAGATGTGTCCGTCGTGTAGTTACGCCGTTGCAACCGCTTGCATTTTGCTGAAAACAACTTTGCTATTTAGTGTCCTTGGACTGGAGCTAGGGGAATTCAGTTAGGATGGGCCGTTGAAAAAAGGTCTTGTATTGCAAAGAAGATATAGATGAGGGGATTGACGGGAAACTTCCTTTCTTTCAGACCCGTACTTATATTTTACAACCTGAACGTGGGATAGAAATGAGTTACCGGCAGGGGTGGCCTGTGTGCCCGGCGCGTTGCAGCCACCCCGCGGCTCGGTTGCCAGCACGAGAGACGCTCGGGTCATTTGCACACTTCCTCCCCGATTAACCCTCAAGCTGAGAAACCAATCGCGGCCACTTGTGATTTTCAAACGGGTCATTTACCACGTGGATGCCACATCAGCCTGAAATAATCCAAATTGCTCATTTCAATCAAACTCGTGGCTTCGTTTTCCCTTTCCTTACATCGCCATAGCAGCAATTATTATTATAAGCCGCAAATTATTTTAACATTTGGAAACTCCGGTGCCTAAGCGTGCGCGTTTGATACATCTGCCCCGTGTTTTGAGTATTTATCCTCTGAAAACGGGCTTATTTGTCACAAATAAAACGTGTTGCTAGAAAAGAAAAACCCTTCAAGTGTCTTGTAATTGAGGGCCGGTTGAGTGCCCGGTGAAATAACCCCTGTAGCTATTTTCCTACTTTACACCGCCGATTGTTCCCTTATCTCTCGGTTGGCTAACTTCCTTGGGCCAGCCACTGGCAGAAGAGCCCGCGTGGTTACCAACCTCCGCGCCGCAATACACACGAGGGGGTTCTCTTTACAACCTCTCTTCTCTACCTCGACGAGAGAGGCAAAAGAAGAGCCGAGTTTATACATTGGAGAGAAAACATGCGTCACATTTTACTCACGCAGGCTTGACAATGAAAGAGAGACATACCAACGCGACACTATTAAAAAAAAAGTGTCTGTCGGTTTCGGACGCAAACGAAGTTCCCGCTATTAATAACCCAGCCTGGTGCGCCCGACAGACGTTTGGAGGGCGAGTTTGCCTAATTGATGTGCGAACTCTGACATGGCCTTTTACTCCAAGGGGTCGACAGCCGTTGGAGACCCTTCATTAATTTCAAGTGGGGCCCCTGGGGAGTGGAACGTTCTAGTGGGCTTCCACACCTCAGTGCAGCAGGGAGGGTCAATACATGTACTAACTAAGTCGAATGAAAAACATCTCGTATTCTCTTTCCCGTCATCGTGTTTTTAGAATGACCCCATTTCAAAAAAAAAATCGCCGTGTGTCAAACCGCATTCGGGTATTTTTTTATTTTTTTTTTAGAATTCGTACTTTTTTAGCAGCTTTGAAATATAAGATGCAATTTAAAAGCCTTTGTGCTTGATAAATATTGTGATTGAACCGGAGGGTTTTCTCTCTTTCTATTTTCAATGAGATGGCCTCCTTTTTTGTCACTTGAAGAAAACCTGCGCAGCTCAAACGATGCCGCCCGTGGAAGACATGGTTGACGGCGTTGTCATCCAAATTGACTTTATTCTCTCTGTTTGCAAAACGGCCTATGCGCTGCGCCTGTAATCTTTATAATCACGGTTCAATCTCCATCGAACTCGAGTCTGCGGCCCAAAAAGCTCAGGTAGGGGCTATTGTCAACCTGCTCTCCTTGTACGTGTACCGTACCGCCGGCCGGTGTGCCGAAATAGAGTTGACGTCAATTGAGGTACTTCAGCGGTGCGCTTTCAAGCTCAAGAGGTCCTGGGTCTTGCATAGATCTCGGGGTTTGTTATTGCACCTACCACTTGAAACAGACCGATATGGACGAAAGGTTTAAAAAAAAAAAAAAAAATCTTCGGATGAGGGGGAGGGGTAAGCTGTTTTGTGAATAAATGAATAAAGGATGAAGATAGCATTGTTATAATAACAATTATCCGCCGCGTGATTAGAATCTGTTGACCTATATGGGTTCCGTGCACGAAATGTTAAGGGCGCTTAATTTTTGACGTGCTAACAATCGTCGGGTTTAGCTATATCAAATTTTGGTCGTCAACCTCTTTCATTGAACACAATTCTCGCTGTTAAAAGACAGCCTAAACGGTTAACAGGATAATGCATTTGAAAGGGTGTTCTTGTTTTATTCAAGTTGTGTGTGGATTCGTGACCAAAATTTGGGAAAGGCTCGCACAGAAAATATTCATAATTTGACATTGGTGTGGTAGGAGAGGAACTCCGTCGACTGTGCATCATCAATTAGGCCCACCACCGACGAGATAAGTCTAGGGCTCGGCAGACGGGGGACACGCCGTCACCATACGGCGCTGGGCTCGCTGTCGGACCGTTAGATTACCGTAATTCGCTTCCCACCCTGTCCCTACCCTGACCCATTTTCATAAGGTCTAGCGTACTCCACAGCCGCCCTGCCATGCCAAGCATGCATGCACAAACCTGGCGTACCCAGACAGACGGGTTGGTCCCTCGGAATTCTTGTGTGAATATTTTTGGCAAGTCAGGAGACGGGGGGAGTACGAGGCACATAGTTCAAGGGGTTGGGCGCTTTATTGAGGTTGATATCCTGGGAGAGGGTAGTTGAATGGAGCTGTCAGAATGTCGGGGTCTTGATCTCGCTATAAAGCGCAGATAGGCGCGCATCTGAGCGATCCGGAGAAGCTTTGGCACGTGGGTGAACAAAACAAATCGGTAGATGTCTTGCAATACAACCTCTTCACTATTTCAAGTCCAATGTGTAGTGATCACTGAACATTTCACTTCTCGACATAGCACGACATAAACTTATCTTATCCAGTTCCAGGGAATAGCAAGCCTATTCAAACTCTGGAAGCCGTAAAGAAGACATTCCAGTAACCTTTTTCAATCTTGTGTACAAGACACAGCCATCTTGGTTGGAACCCCGGCAAGAGTGTGAAATATTTCCCAATTGATAAAAGCGCCGATGAACTTGAAACGACCTTGACATTCACAATTGCACGTAGCAATAATGCGATTGTGCAATATCGAAGAAATATGATCAGGTTGTTTTTTTTTATTGAACGTTGACGGACAAGCATTTGATGTAGTCTTGCTCGCCCGAAGAGCTTCTTTTAATTAAGGTGTTTTCCCCTCCTCTTGAGATTATGTCTTGCACTTTCGCTGCAGCAGGTACACCGGTTGGGAAGGCAGTTTTGTTTGATTGCCAGCCGTTGTATCGTGTGTAAATTGCGATGGGTTTACTCATAGACGCCCCTGCTCCTAGTGTCTTGCCGTGTAAAATCGATATAGGCAAACTTGGAAACTCCGATTTTCACACAAGTACGGTCGTTTTCAGTTTCATCGAAGTTCACGATGAGCACGACGACGCGACGGCAGGGCTAGGTGCGACATTCCGGCGCTTATACTCCGTCTACACCATTATTGAACTCGTCGGTCTGCACACAATGCACTTGGGGTAAAGTTGTAAAATGGCGAGCGAAGCCAAGAGATGTGCAAACATACAAAATATCTGCAAATGGTTAATTTTCTACCGCCCAATCACCAAAAAAAGAAAACTTGCCGCCTCCAGACGACTTTTAATTGTACAAATCGATAACGGCTGTCTGTGGGTGATTGAACAACGGTCGGGGCACGTAATTGTCCAAAAATTGTGTAAAAGGCCTGCACTTGCACTTAACGCCTTGTTGTTTTTATTCATTTACTTTCGGCACTCAAGTTTTAAAACTACTTTCGGCACCAAAGCTAAACAAAATATACGTTCAAGTTTCTTGTGTGCTATGTTTGTTTTATAGAAAGTTAGCTGCACATTTAATGTTTATGAGGCTTATACGTACGTGGTACATGGTCAGCGCGCCTTGCGATATCACGACCAACCGAGGTCGCCAATGAAATGCTGTGTGTCCGCCAAACATCAATGATTGTGATAATGAGGTTCTATACTCATAATGGGGGGACCTTGCAAATGACGTCATATCTGAGGACCTATTCTGTTCTTTTGTGATAGATACGAGTATAATGCCAATGAATTTAATTAACAGAAGAAAAAACTTCCCGATGCCCGCCGATGCGCAAGGGTTTGATACAATGCTATGTTGCTCCCTCAGTAAATAGAGACTTGATGATGAGTCTATATAGACTTTATTAAGGAAGGCATCAGCTATTAACCCGTGGCTGCACGCTCCTTTTTTTGGCCACTATCTTCTTTTGATATTTCAATTGATTTTCTTTTCTTTTTTTTTCTCTCTCTCCCTCTTTAGCTTACTTTTTGATAACGACGGTAACATTTAGCGAAGTCAAGATTTTAGGAGTGCACAGTGGACTGTACGTCTGCATGAACAGTCACGGCAAACTCTTCCCGTCGGTAAGTTGCACAATTTAGATTTTTTTCTCTCTCTCTCAAAATTCTTGTTGAATATAAGTATGGGTGCACATTGAACAATGTGATTTAATTCGTTACTAAAAATTATAACCACTTCTGTTCTTCCCTTTCCTATTTCGCAAAACAGCCTGATGCGACTAACGAATGTGTCTTCAAAGAAGAATTTCTGCGGACTCTGTATGCGGTGTTCTCGTCCCAAGCTTACGACTCCCCTGCTAGGAAGAAGAGATGGTACATAGGACTCGATAAAAACGGCCGGCCACGGCTGGGCAGGAAGACCAAGAAGAGGCACTCGATGACACACTTCCTCGTGGAATCAGTATGATCACGGAATGAAACCGAAGGCATTTCAGAAGCAGACTTAGCGAGTCCGAGAACTCTCCGCAGCCACGACGAGAATCGCGATGGGCGATAAACGGTTGGAGATATTAATGCTGTCTCGCCGGTAACACTTGGCTTGAGAGCCTCGTGAACTCCACAGCTCCACGTGTATGCGATTTTAAATGTACATCACACGTGTCATCCGACGCAATGGCAATGGTACGGCGAGGCCCTATCGGTGGACGTCACACTGCCGGGCGGATACGCACCAAGGAGGCGCGCTTGGACATCTCCCTCGTGCCTAAAACTGCTAAATCTGTCACCAGAAGCTAAAGTCGGAGACATAAATAATATATCTTTGGTGTTAGATGTATTATTTACGTTGGAGGCATGAGCATAAAGTATTCCACATTGACGAGCGTTCATCAATATAAATATAAGCCGCCGTCGTTTTAATGTAACAAATATTGTATCATATTAATAGCGAAACAAAAATATTTAAGATTTTTAAAAATACTTCAGTGCAAATTGTGTTTAAGAATATGTCAAGTATTACGTATACACTTTAGACAATGATGTTAATCTTCCACCTAGGATAGGGTACCTTACGATAAACATTATGGATGGGCCACCGTTTACTTTGTGTGGACCGTTGTGTTAACTTCATCATTATAGTTTTCATTTTGTTGTTCCCAAAGTGATCATTATTCATGTGAATAAGTACTATAGGTCTTTGTAATTGTTCGGATATCTTGTTAAAGACTTTCCCTACGTGTTTTTTTCCCCCTTTTCGTTATTAAGGAAAAGTTGGACCAATGTTTAGGCCCTTTTTCAACTAGCAATTAGTTTCGATATGGTATACCACAGCTTTGCTCCATATTCTATAAGTCATAAATTGTGGATACTTCTTTGGGTATAGCTCACTGGTCTTTGCAATAAGTTCCTGCTGATTAGGTGATCAGAGAATGGATATTTTAATTCGAAACGAAAATCATACCAAAATGTCTGATGGACCTCATTTTCTTTCCCCAACAACTGATTTGATATCATGACGAAGATTCGTCTGTAGACATAAAAACCAGTTGATCCAATCACTGGTGCTTTAAGCCCGACCAAAAAAAAACGTTCTGAAGGGAAGCAATTTCGAAACTTGCCGATAAATCTCAAAATGAGTCTAGTTAAGACTGTCAGCATAAGACCAGAAGCTGAGCCGTTGTCAATGGGGTACCCAATTTGCAGCAGGGCTGTCCTTCGGGTTCTCAAGGGGAAAGTCCAGCCGTAGGTGCCCCTCCGATCCCCTGTCACTCACCCGGACAATTGGGGCATTCAGCAAGTTTGCACACATCACTCGCCTTTACCGACACACCTGGTTAGACCTGTATGAGACCAGCCGACCGTGAACCAAGTGGTTCAGACCCGCCGAGAATGGGGATTTGCGAACAAGTATAGGTTTTTTTGTAAGCGCCGATGCTTGTCGGCCTGGTTCCATCATCGTCTGGAGTTTGGTGGTGGGGTATTCACGGGGGGGGGGGGGGGGGGGGGGGGGGGAAGGGGGGGGAAGGGGGTGAAACGCATCCATGCCATCGCCTACTTTGATCTAGTGGCGGTGACAGACTGTTTGAGTCAGTCAATCTGGCAATTCAGAATGCGCACATGTATAACACACTGACACCTTCAAGCGGGATGGCAAAGGTTCGGCTGGTCCAATTGGAGTCTCGTACAAATGTCTTGAGTGGATGCAATGTTGATGTATCTGGCCTTCTCTATAATAATCAACCTCGTGCAGCTAACCCGTACATGCGACATGCGCAGTTCTTGGATTGTAAAACAAATAGGAAATATACACCGAATGGAAACATAGTCCAACTAATATTTGGATATGATTTCGTCACAACGGATGGTTGTATTATACATTTTCGGGAATGAGCACATCGTGCATGTACACGTAATAGTCACTATAGTACCTCTCAAGTATTCTAACTATACGAACAACTGCAAAATATAACTTTGTTCGTGGTTACTCGTTAACGGTTGTATAAGTTGATAGCCCACCGAAGGTCCCTTGCAGTTAACAGGAAACTTCAATTATTATGATTGATATTTATATATATATATATATATATATATATATATATAGTTTGTGTGTGTAAAAACACACTAACTTGGGGGTTCCACTGGCTCAAACCGTAGTTGTCACACAAGTCGTTTTTGTAGACGACAGCCTCCCTAGTGCTGACCGCGTGCTTATGTAATATTTATAAGACATCCGAGGATATATTTTTATGATGATATTTTTATACATAAGTTATTTATACGGTGTATTTATTGAATTAAACAAAAACTTCGAAAGTGTGTGACGCCCTCCGTAATAAGTGCGCACACCGTGAGGAAGAGTGCTATTCGGTCTTCAGGCTACATGGCCTAGGGGGTTGAGATGTTGAGATTGTCGAGGTGTTAGGTGATGATTTTGAGCATTACAGAGAAGATAGCAAAGTATACTGTAACTATAGTGACAGACAATTCTATACTGAATTGTATACGCAATTTATTCATGCTCTGTCGGTGTTATCTTCTGTTACTCATCAAGACTTGTGTCGGTTTGAGATCCCCGCTTTTTTCTTTACTTAGCGGGTTTATATTATCGTCTGCAACCATCATGTAATTGATACATTACGTGTAATGTAGTATAAAAAACAATTACTCTTTATACTAAGCATTTTGTAACACGTGCGCTTTTGCCGCAATGGCCGGCCGTCACAGCGCATTGTAAATAATAGAGTAAAATAACAGTTCGGATATCTCGAAGATGAAATGGTTATTGTGGAGTCGCAAAGAAGTCCTGTTTTGTCTTTTTTTTAACACAAAGAATGGCTACTGCATGTGAGCTATAAGTGATAAGCAATTTTGTGAGGTATAACTGAATTAAGTACTACTGAACCGATTCGAAAACTGAGGTGCTGTCAAAGTTAAGATGTTGGTACATGTACGACTCCATATGGATAACTGCCTAATGCATACCCTTCCTATACTAAATAGCGGTTATATTACTATATAGCCATTTTTATTTTAATTTCAACAGAATTTTTCTATTATGTATAGAAGCCCAAGGTCAACCTTGGTTTTTCCTGCATCTGAATGATGAATAACACGATATGGCGGAATATGTGCCTGAATATCAAGAAAGTCGAAATTGCGTGCCTAAACATTGTGTCCATATCCCCCATTCATTATTACACAGCCCCGTCAAACTATTAATGAATTAGTAATCAACCACACTTAGTCACCTTTTCCCTCCATTTGTTGTGTAATATCCTTCTTCTGGGTGCTGTCCTTCAATCACCTTCGAAAACGAATTTTACGTCCAGTTATCCAGACTGGGCATGGAATTATAACATTTACATGTATATCTAACATATGTGGATGAATTACTTAAGGCAGAATATATAATGCGAGTTTGTGCTTACGAGACAATAATACCTCTTCAACTCAAAACAGTAGAAGCTGATCCATTATGTTTCATTATTATGACGCTATCTGCTTTTCAATGATGCAATGAAAATGCCTTGACATTACTCTTATATTGTAATGACGCTGCCGTCACGCGTCACATTAAATTGACAAGGGCATAGATATGGAAAACAGCGGATGTTAAAAAGGTGTGGTGCTAGATTCCGAAAGGGAGGGGGTAACATACATACTTGAGGGTTCATCAAGAGAGGGGATCAATTAAAGACGTTAAAAATAGGAATAGAACGCCTCACCCCACATTATAGAGTAAATCTGCCCTGATTAGGTATTTGGTATGCACGTGTTAACAAAGAGAATATTGCCATTCCCATCCTTGATATTCATCTATATTGGTGCACAACTAGGCCTACAGTTTGCTTTCATCAAACAATAGCATTTGTTGTCTTTTTATATGAAAACTGTCTTCAAATTTTACATACACTTCTATCCCGAGTGCATATACAACATATACCGCGGACAATGCATTCACACCACGCATGCACTTGTCACTAAATTCTCCATTTCCTTTCGTGATAACAGATAATTAGGTGAGTAATGCACGGTATTACCACCGTGACGCTCCATCAAATTGGTTATATAGACAATACACGATGAAGGGCAAAGTTTATAGGACGTTATAATTATTTTATACCGTGATTGGACAAGGGAACTGTTCATGTGACGTGTTCAGACTTAAACCCCTGTGCTTAAGCCATGAGGAAGAACAACGCATGCTCGGACACACATGATCCACAGGGTGTTAACATTTTGCCTGAGCATGCGCATTTTATTCGTTCTCCTGATTGGGTTAAACGATCATCTCAATCTTCGGTCCCGTTCCGGCTTCAGGTCCCCTTCTGCCCCGTAACGCTTTATACCCAAGTTTTTTTTTATGATTGAGGCAAATTGAAGGACTCAAAACATCGGTCTTGTATCAAATGATGTTGATGTAATTTAAAAAGGCCTAGGCCAACTCATGTTGAGCTATGTTCAGCTGGAGTTTCCGTAACCTGGAACCAAGAACATGTGAAAGTTGGAGAAAGCGTTGGTTTGCTAAATCGCCGACACATATCACGCAGGGAATAGGCCTACAGAGGTTGGGCTGATTGTCAGAATTGAAGATAACAACAAAGAAACGAAATTTGTGAACAAAATGAGATGATACTTTGGTGTCCGTATGCATTGAAGTTACTTGCTTGAAGAGTTGTAAAATGAAATTGATGATTAAGACAACAACCGACAAACAGCTGGACTACTTGAAAGTGCAGCCAAAGAAGTTACAGGTTTTATTTCACAAGTGCAGCCATAGAAATCCATTCCAATGAAACTAAATCCATTCCAATGAACCGAAATCCCCGAAAAATCATAATAGGGACTGACAGAAAACAGCCTGACGCCTTATACTGGCGTAAGTCCAAGTTAACCTGTTACCAAGAAAACAGCTTGCAAGGCATTTCCAAATCGGGAAATGATCACCTGGCCAAAATTTGAGCCAGGAAGGAGAAAAGTTGATTATTTTTTATTCAACCGGAAAATTTTAATTAGCAGCCTACGTGAGAAGATTCACAGGATTCAGAAACAAATATTATACCTTACCCAGTTTTCATACATGTTTAATGCCATGAGTTACCACAATGATAACCCAGCAAAATTCCCCATTTAAGAAGACATTTCCCATAATGGTAACCCAGCAAAATTCCTCATTTTTAAGGAGACAGATACCACTTGCATGATGTTCGTTTATGTTCCCTACAGATGAGGACATGTGTGGTCGAAAAGTATGTCCGCACCGGCCCCCTCCCCTTCAACCAACAGAAAAATTCATCCTCTTTTTTTTTCAGCCGCACGAAGTCAGGTTTTTCAACAGAGGGCGCAGTCTGCCCATTTAGGCTTCGCTCGTACAGGTCTACCGCGGTATCTACATGATCTAAGGATGCGTGTGACCTCCAATCGTTTATTTCCCCCTTGTTTGAGAAGGAAAATTAATGCAGATGTCGCAAAGAATTGTGGGTTGCTCACCGCAATAATCAATGCACGTGTCGTATTTGTTACAACACGAAACAATTAGAATTGGTCAAACTTACCCGAGGAAACTTGTCGCATAGCAGCCAGGACCCCCAGGTTTGGCTTCGCTTGTACATGTTCTTTCAAATTCCGGAAGTGCAAGGAAAGTGAGTACAATTATCACGAAAAATGACGTGAGGAAACTTAACTGTCAACTGCTAAAAGTTATGTCGGACAGATGAAAAGTTATGATGACGTCTTCGTTTGAAAGGGTGCCCTCTGGCGGCACGTCAAAGAGAAGTTGATTAGTTATTTTTCGGGGGATAGATTAAAGGCGCCCTCAAGCGGCAATTGTAACAACAGTGCACGAATAATTTACTCTTTGGACAAAAATAAAGTTCCTTAAAATTACGATCTTATCAAACCGGAAGTTTGTTCAAGGGAGAATTTAAAGCTGAACAAATTTCCCCCTTAATAAAACTCGAAATTGCTCTTACAAGAGTATTTTACGAAAAAATATATATGAACTAACTCTTCTATTAAATCTAGGCTAAATTCATTCAACCCCCCCCCCCGTGATACTATGACGTCATCAACCCAGAAATTTGTGAATAAATAACGTTGGAATTAGTACAGTAGAGTCGTGTAATTGTGATTGTCCGTGACCGAGCTATGTAACTGTAAAATCTATTATACTGAAATCAATATTTCACGAGAATGACGAATAAAAACAAAATATACTTGGTAGGCCTAAGAATAGATGGGGAAAAGGGGTTTAACTATATACAATTACATCATGTTTGATTTGCAAATTTGGGCTTTCTCTATTTCTTTTTTTAAGGCGAACAGTGAAAGAATGCAGAGCTGGCGAGTTCATTCGTTTGTAGTATTTTTTAAATATAAAAAAAAGTGTAGCCGGACACCCGAAAACCACACAAATGCACAATAATGAAGAAGAAAATCGGATCTGTACAGTTTGCACCAAGCACTACTGAACGCAAATTGTC